CATCCACTCCATCAATTCCATCATCGTCCGCTGGGAGCCATACCGTGGCGGCCATCGTGATGTGACTCAGTGCCAACGGTGTCTGAACTTTGGATACGGCACCCGCAACTGCAACATTAAGCCACGCTGTGGCAATTGCGCTCAAGACCACGCCACTTCTGACTGCCCTGTGGATGGAGCCGTGGCATTAAAATGCGCCAACTGTGGTGGTGCTCACCAAGGTTCCGACAGACAGTGCTCTAAACGCGAGGACTTCAAACGCATCCGAAAACAGGCGGCAACTAACAACCAACCAGGACGCAAGAAGGACAAAGTCCCGGCATTTCGGACGGAGGATTTCCCGCCTCTTCGTGCTCCTCAACAAAGGCAAGAGAATTCGCGGGTGCATTCCGCTCAAGCAACTTCTGGTGATTCTGCTGGCCAAAGCTCTCCATCCCTCCCTGGATTCTGGAGACAACCACCAGCGCAAAACAACAACCCCGATCTGTTCTCAGCGGATGAACTGATGGAAATTTTCGTCAACATGTCCGGTGCTCTTCGTAAGTACCGCAATAAGCCCGAACAGATTCAAGTGCTCGGTAAGTTCATCATCCAGTATGGCGTCTAAACCCCTAACTATCGTCAATGCTTGCTCTGTAAGAGCAAAAAAGATTGAGCTTGCCGACTTCCTCCGCAAGCATAGCATCGACGTGGGTCTTCTAACCGAGACCCATCTAAAGTCCGGCGACAGCTTCTGGTTGCCTGACCACAACATTATCCGGCTTGATCGCACCAGCTCCAGGGGGTGGTGTTGCGGTCGTCGTCAAGAAAGGAATAAAATACCACACTCTGTCCCATATCCGGACCACTATCATCGAGGCCCTTGGTGTGGAGGTGGAGTCATCGACTGGATACGTCCAGTTCATCGCCGTCTACTGCCCTCGACAGTGTGCCGCCAGCAGTGGACTAGCGGCTAAATTCAAGAAGGACCTTTCCACCATCACCCGTAACGGTTCCCGCTTCGTAGTAGGAGGAGATCTAAACGCTCGCCATGAGGCCTGGCTTAACTACAGGCAGAACCAGAACGGTCGTCTGCTGTTCGACCACTCACAGCATGGGCTGTACTCCGTTTGGTTTTCGGATGAGCCAACATTTATCTCACCGGCGGGCAACCCATCGACGCTAGACCTGTTCCTGACAAATATCGGCTTGTCCAAGCCGGTAGCCTTGAACGAACTCAGTTCCGACCACCAACCGGTGGTGTCTGAGCTGGGCTGCAACGTGGCTCCTGTTTCAAGCCTGCGCAAGGACTATCATCGCGTAAACTGGGCCCAGTTTGGACGCGTGGTAGACAGGCACATAATCGACAACCCGCCGCTTGACACCGTGGAGGACATCGACCGAGCGTTGGAGGGACTCCACCAAGCCATAACTGTGGCTGACGAGGCGTGCGTCCGACGAGTTCCTGTGAGGGGTAAGTTTATTGCTATTGATTCCCACACCCAACTCTTAATTTGCCTGAGAAATGTTCGTAGACGCCAGTTTCAGAGGACTGGAGATCAAGCGATGAAACGTGAAATGGCCGATCTGAACAAGGAGATTGCTTCCAGAATGGTCTCACTCCGGAACGAAAGTTTCGGGCGGCTTGTCCAGCTCCAGACCATTCTGGAAAGTTGCCAAGGTCTTAAAGACGCACCCTAAACCCATTCCGCCACTAAAAGATGAAAATGATGACGATCGGCTCATAATCACCCCTCAGGAGAAAGCAAATGCGATTGGTGAGCATATTGCCAAATCGCACTTGCTTGGCTCCAACATCCAAAGTCCGCTCGATGTTCAGGTTGAGCAATGTGTACTCAACCTTGATTCCTCCCCTTGTGCCATCCCTCCGGAGGATAGAATCACAGCGGAACAGATTTGCTCAGCGCTGAAATGCACCAAAAACATGAAGGCCCCCGGGTTTGACGGAATATTCAACCTAGTGTTGAAAAATCTCAGCATGAAGGTTCACTCTCTGCTGGCTGCTGTCTTCAACAGATGCTTGGAACTGCACTACTTTCCAAGTATCTGGAAGACAGCGAAAATCATACCTATCCGCAAACCCGGAAAGGACCCAACGCTAGCTTCAAGCTACAGACCAATCAGCCTCCTTTCAGCGCTGAGCAAATTGTTCGAGAAACTCATTCTTAATCGTTTGCTCAAGTTTGTCGAGGAAAATAACATTCTCCTTCCGGAACAGTTTGGGTTCAGAAAGGGGCACTCACTCCACCAATCACCAGCTAGTGCGGGTGATGAATAACATCCGAAGTAACAAAGCTGTATCCAAATCCACAGTCATGGCCTTGTTAGACGTTGAGAAAGCGTTTGATAATGTCTGGCACAATGGGCTTGTATTCAAGCTTTGTAACTTCAACTTTCCATTACATCTGGTTAAAATCACCCGTAACTACCTCCAGCAAAGGTCGTTTAAGGTATCGTTGAATGGTTGTCTTTCCGACACGTTTTCCATCCCAGCAGGAGTCCCGCAAGGCAGTCTGCTGGGCCCCTTGCTTTACAGCATTTACACTTCCGGCATTCCTCCCCTTGGAGACGGTTGCGTGTCAAAGGAAGGATGCCTCGCGAAATAACGAACAAACTTCAACGATGCCTTAACGTCTTTGCTGATTATGCCACCACGTGGAAAATCAAAATCAATGCTTCCAAAACACAAACAATCATGTTCCTCCATCGACAATCACCCAAACTAAAACCGGCTCCCTCTTGTACTGTAATCATGGATGGCACAAGGGTTGAGTGGTCCGCCGAAGTAACCTATCTCGGGATGTTGTTTGACGAAAAGCTCCTATTCCGCTCGCATGTGGAGAAAACCGTAGTCAAGTGTTCCGCCTTGGTTAGGAGTCTATATTCGCTGATTTGCCGCAGATCCCGCCTCTCAAGGGTGAACAAACTGGCCATCTACAAACAAATCGTAGCACCTGCGATCCTATACACAGCTCCGGTGTGGGAATCATGTGCACAGACTCACAGGAACAAAATTCAGGTAGCTCAGAATAGAGTGCTGAGGATGGTTCTTGATCGTCCTTTCGACACTAGAATAACAAATTTACATGAAGAGGCAGGCATTGCCAAAATAGATTCCAAAATTAACGAAATTAAGACTAAATTTGCACAAAAATGTAATTTATCGGAACATGCTTTGATAAGCAATTTGTATATAGTAGGTTAGGTGTACATAGTAGTTGTAGGTTAGTTGTAGTTGTAAATAGTAGTTATAAGTAGTCTCCTTTTTCCAATTCAAATCAAACCAATCCCACCAAGGTGGTCATACTTTAAAATAGGCCTAGGAACTAGGAACTGTAAATAATAATTAAAATCTCAAATGTACTAAAGTTGAAAAGACGCATCTGTGTCACTTAAAAAATTCATACATGTAAACCACACAATCACAAGAAATAAAGATCATTTGAATGGCAAAAAAAAAAAAGCCTCAACTAATTTTCGCTTCGGACGGCGTGGTGATCAGGCAGCAGAAGCAGCAAAAGCAGCAGTAGGAAAGTGGTGGCAGGTTAGGTAGTCCACTCTTCTACCTAACAAGCAACAATGACTGGTCGTGGCAAAGGAGGTAAAGGTCTTGGTAAAGGAGGCGCCAAGCGTCATCGCAAGGTTCTCCGTCGTCTAGTTTGCCGTGGCAGTGTCAAACGTATCTCCGGTCTGATCTATCAGGTGTGCTGAAGGTGTTCCTGGAAAATGAGATCCGTGATGCTGTCGCCAAGCGTATGCGGCCATGGATGCCATCTACGCTTTAAATCGACGGAGACGCACTCTGTACGGTTTCGGAGGTTAAATCATCACCAACTTTGGCAACAAAACGACCCATTTCAGTAAAGACTTGGAATAGAATTTATCTGTGCCTGTTTGTCCATATTCAGAACCACACGCCCCCAACGACCACACAAAATGCTCTCCAGAGTTGTAACCTTGTTACCAAACTTGGAAGCAAGGGTGCAAGTGATTGTGATCGATTCTCTTCATCAACTTTCTTCTTTAAAAAAATACTACAAATTTAGTACGCCTACAATTTAAAAACGGAAAGAGATAAGATGATCGATCAATTAAAGGAACTAAATTCTCTTCACATTTGTTCCGTCCACTAGCGGTTCTACGTCAAGCTCTTCCAAGGACTTCCCCTATACAAATTTTAAGAATTTAAGAAGGTATTTATTATGAATATTTATGTTTAGTCCTAGACGTAAATTAATACAATATTCCACATTTATACACAAAAGTATATAATTACAAATAAAAAATAATATATCACCAAATCACAGATATTTATAAAGCCCAAAAATATTTTGTTGTTGCTCTTTTTAAATGTATCTGGGGCCGAGTGAGTAGTACACTAAGAAAATTTCAAAGATTGTTTTCATGTGTCCCACACTTACATTTTTAGCAATGCCATCATTAACACAGTCTCCAACTAGATGAACAAAATGAACACTAGACAAATGAAAACAAAAAAACAATTGACAAACCGACATGAATGACCATATAGCAAAAACAATAAAATTTCTGACCAAAGCACACTACTGACATCTGGCTCCGTGTTCGCGGGAAATATTTAGCTAAGCCATGAGCCCGCAAGCGAAAGATATGACTTGATTCGTGTCTGATCTATTCTGGACAAATTATTTTTATCTAGATCAAAAAATCGTATGGTTTTGACATTTCACTGCACATTTAAATCGGCCGTTTTCGATTTTCAGGCATAAGTCAGAATTAAGTGTCATGTCGGTTTGTCGGTGATACAACGTCCATTAAACCTTGAAATTTAAAAAAAATCTGGTTTTGCTGTAGATTTGAGAGAGAATTGCAAAGTTTGTATGGGGAAATGGGAAAATGGCTGGGGTAGGTATAGTAAACTGAAAGAAAATATTCATCCGCATTTCGAATCACTGCACTACATTATGCCTAATGGGATTGGATTATTTTCTCACAAAAATAGAATGTCATTTACCAATCTTTTCAATGATTTATTGTACATACTTCTATCCTACGGTAATTCTCATAGATTCGCATCCACTATCCGATTGACAGTACACATTTATCATCAACAATTTCTATCGCACTACACAATTGTAGATCACATTGTTTGCAAAAAAGTTTATAACTCCGTCTCCATACAAACACATTCTTCTATAACATAAACGATTGAGTATTGATTTCGTAGCTCTATACAACAGTTAAATAGGTGCATTGATGCTTCAGTGACGGACTTGAGTTACCTAACCTCGAAAGAAAGTAAAAATATCAAACGGTGGTAGAGCAACGCAACTGCCATCTGGCGGTTTTCATCGTTATTTTCGTGAACTAAACGTGAACTTAAAAGTAAAAGTTTTTTTTCCTAAGCAACTACTGAGTGGTGAGTAAATTTTCCTTACAAAATATGCAAAAGAGGGTGGCAGTGTTCCGTTTTGTATAGAGTTAAGGTGAAAATACGAAGAGATTTTCCATTTTTCATTTGGAATAGATGAAGGCTTTGGTTGTTGAGTAGAAATGAGGGGAATTAAGTCTAACTAAAGAGCTATTTACAGTGATTTTGTTCAGCCATTCAAAATGTTGAGCATTGCACCAGCAAGGTGCTTAGAAGTTGAAGGGTATGGCAGGTTTCGGATATGAGTACCCGGTCGATTCCTCGACCACAGGTGGAAGGTATTCCGGAGCAGCAGTGGTCGGCACTGGTCGTGGAATGGTAAACGGTCTCGGTGGTTGCGGGTAGTCGTATCCGCAGCTACCGTCCGGGTTGATTTCGGAAGCCGCGCACTTCCGTTCCGTGGTCGTTGCTGGGCGGGTTGTTGTCGGACGACGGGTCGTTGTGGTCGTGGTAGGGCGAGGCGTTGTGGTTGTGGTTGTTCGCTGGAAATGGTTAAAGAGGTGGTGATAGTTTGGGTCGATAGACAGTAGAATGCAAAAAGGGATTACCCTTGTGGTGGTAGATGGAGGTAGGTACTCAACGGCTGGTGTAGTCCTTCTGGTGGTGGTAGTGGTTGGCCGCGTGGTAGTTCGGGTTGTCGTAGTTGTGCGCTAAGATGCAGGATTAGAGAAAAAGATCTCAATTATTAAAATGAATACAGCTAACGTATCTTTAATTTTCTCAAAAGTCATATATCAAATGTCAATCAATGGAACAGCACTTTGCCGATTTTGAGCAACCAAAAGAGACACTACTCCAAATCCATCCATACCCTCGTAGTGGTGGTGGTTGGTCTCGTCGTTGTTGTAGTCCTGACCGTCGTCGTACTCGGTGGCAGATATTCCTGGGCTGGAGTTGTCCTTCGCGTGGTAGTCGTAGTCGTCGTTGGTCGACGAGTGGTTGTCGTCGTTGGGCGCTACAAAGAAACCGATTCATGAGGCCTTCAATCAAACAAAGGCAAAGCTAACCCAACGTTAATTGTTCCAGGATCGAAAAGTTGTCGAAATGTTATTTTTTTTCTCAACGAATAATTTTGAAATAGAATTTGGAGAACAACGCCAGTCTGGGTATTGATTTGGATCACTGGAACTTACTCTTGTAGTCGTAGTTGTGGACGGTGGCAAGTACTGCTCAGCAGGAGTAGTTCTACGGGTAGTGGTAGTTTTTCGCTGTTTCAAAAAGGTAAATTATCATAAATAGGCAAATGTTCGGCATCATGCGAAAGGGACCTCAGATCGCCTAGTCTGTTAAGGCACGTTAAAGCCGGAGACGGCGGGTTTGATTCACGATCCAGGAAATCTTTTAAGTTCTAAAATTGCTTGACTGCCCTAGGCAAGATATTTAAATCTATCAAGGAATTAAAAATATCTCCAAATGACAAAATGACAAACCAAATGATAACGCTATGTCAGAAGTGGAAAGCAATAATGATACAATCTTCTTCCTTTTTTCATGACAAGCAGTTCGTGCGAAACAGTTCACTCGGGGTGGTAGAAGGAAATGAGCAAATTGTTGGCAAGCTGCTTCACGAAGTAAAGCCAAAGATGATACACGTGTGTTAATGGGAATTTTTTTGTTATGTCTTTTCTCGATTCAGATCAAGCTATGTCCTCATCCGTGTGTATTGCAACAAAGCAGTCAAACAATATATCATTATCTTTCTACCACTCAAATCAAGCTTTGTTACAGAGCGAGTTTGTCATGGTAGTCGTAGCAACCGTTTTGTCTGTATCGTTGGTTGCTTTATGTGTTTGGATTCGCTGAAATCTATGCATTGGTTGGCATAGAAAGCTCTCAATTAAGAACTGTGAAAATACTTCAAGATCACTTAGCCCTGGAGTGGACCAGTGGCCTAGAATCCACCAAATGGAGTGGACCAGGATCACACGCGATCTGAAGAACTTGTGAGAAATTGCTCGAGGTATTTTTAAACTCAGTGACTTAAGCGCCACTCTCTTTACGAGAGACCACTGGTCGTGATTAAACCTCAGGGAACCTCTTAAATGGTTGTTGGATACTAACAAAAAAATTAGCTTTATGGAAACGCCAAGTCTCTCAACACCACAGGCTCGAACGCAATCAACCAAATGTTCATTTCCCGAACGTAGCGATAAGCAAAACGAAAGGAATGTCTTCTCCTCTTGAGCGTAACGAAAGAAAACGGAAATGTATCGTAGTAAGAGGGTTTTATTTAGGGAGTAGCAGTCAAAACGTTCAAAAATTGCGCCAAATTTCATGGCACCTTCAGAAAGCATGTTCAATAAAAGTAACTAGCTGTTACGATGAAATTTTTTTAGCATAATATAGCAAAAGTTCTATCCAAGACACCTAACCATCAATAACGCGGAGACGAACCAGCCCAGGACTGAAAGTCTCCTTAATAAAGATATAAAAAAAAATAACGCGTAACCTCGACACGATTGAAATATTTCATTAAATTTCATGAGAACTAAATATAATTTTCATAAATTTAAAAAAAAATGTGATTTTAAGACAAGTCATTTTAAAATTTTCGATTATTTTTTTTTCAGTGTGAAAATTATATTTTTAAGTTTGGACATTTTCTTATGAAAACTCACACATTCTACAAATCACTTGTGGGGGGCATTGTTGTTGTTGTCTTATAATTTTTAAGTTACATTTTTTGTAGAAAAAATGGAAAAAAAAGTTCCACCCTGTTGAAATGTTAGTCTAGATTTTTTATATGAAAATAAGTACAGTAATGACCCGATTTTGTCAGCCTTTCTGCACTTCAGACTTTTTCATTTCAATAATTTTACCCAACCGTTATTCCAAATCTTTCTCATTCATCTTCAAGATGGATTATTAAGGTATACTGGATGTTATAAGGTCACTGAGAAAGCGCACAAGTTTCGTAGAACATTGAAAAGGGGGCTGACAAATTCGTTTTATTACTGTATGCGAAGCTGCTTAAGTATAAAAACATCTACACATCCACAATATTTTATTGGAATCTAATGGTGGTAAGTTCCAACCGGTATTATCCCAGGATTAAATTCTGATCAAGAATGTCCGGCTGCTTTGATGTCGACATCAGAGTCAATCAACACGACTTTAAGGTGATTCACTGTAGCGACCTTTTTCGTGTAACACTTCGCAATTTCATATGTAAACATAATAAGGTTTCTGTGAATGCACGTTGCTAAAACTACTACCGACTTGTTGTTTTCTGCGGAGAAGCAAGCAATGTCTGAAACTTTCATGCGTAGATCTTGAGTTGTGTGCTCTTGAAATTGCGAGGTGTGATGGAAAAATGGACTCTACAAGGAAACACCTTAAGCAAACATTTTGTAGATCGTCCAAAAAGGTTTGGTCTAAACGTTATGCGGGTAGGAGCTTACCGCCAGTAGAGGGTGCTCTCTTGGCGCAAAATTTGTCTATTGTGAGATACAACGGTAACCGAAGGTTTTCATTGAAACTGCAAAAGAAAACCCGAGCAGACGAAAATAACTTATCAATGCACTGGATCCTCCATTTACGAACCAAACCCGGGGTTCGTAAATCAAATCAGTGCGTTAAAAAAATTTCGATATGTGGGATTTACTTCTTACAATTTTTTTTTTAAATACTGTCAAATACCTTACAACAAAAGTATTTTAGAAATCGAGTGACGTGCAGGAACCGGAAATACATTTATGACACCATTTTTTAAACCAAGATGGCAGTTTCCGGATAGAAAAAAACTGAGAAATACTGTCAAATACGCCACAATATGGATATTTTTGGAATCGAGGAGACGTTTAAGGATCGGATATCCATGTGTGACGCCATTTTGAAATCAAATATGGTGACTTCCGGTTACGTAAAAACTGAAAATGCTGTCAAATACCTTACAAACAAATACATATTGTGGGGGTATTTGAAAGTATTTTTAAGTTTTTCTTTAAACCGGAAGCCGCCATCTTTGATTTCAAAATAACATCAGACATGGATTTCCGGTCCCTTCTTATCACTCTGTTTCCAAAAATACCCATATTGTAGGGTACACTGAAGACTTTTTTACACGGCTTTTTTACGCGGTTTTTTTTACACGGTTTTCCAAGATTTACACGGTACGTTTTTAACGATTTCTCGACAACGATACAACCTATCGACTTGATTCCAATCACATTATCCGTTTCAAGCGTAATCGAATAGCATACTTAAAAAAATCACAATTTATGGTGTAAATACAGAAATTTTAAAAATATGTCTTTATGGACCATAGTATGCTATAATTACAAATGGTATCAAATTCCATTTTTTTTGAAAACATTTAAGCATGTGAAAAATCAAAATCTTGAAGTTTTTTTACACGGTACATATCCCCCGTGTAAAAAAAGACCTGAGTGTATATGACAGTATTTCTCAGTTTTTCACTGACCGGAAGCCGCCATCTTTGATATCAAAATAGTGGCAGACGTGTATTTCCGGTCCCTACACGATACTGCGATTCCAAACATACCCATGTTGTGGGGTATTTGACAGCACTTTTCTGTTTTTATGTAGCTAGAAGCAGCCATATTGGATTTCAAAATGGTGTCAAACATGGATTTCCGGTTCTCTACACGACACCACGATTCCAAAAATAACTATACTATGGGCTATAAGACAGTATGTTTTTTTTTTTAACCTACACGTCACCCCAATTCTAAAACTATCCTTATTGTGGGGTAATTGACAGTATTTCCCAGTTTTTCTCTAACGAGCCGCCATATTTGATTTCAAAATGGCGTCAGATATGGATATCCTTTGCTTAAACGTCACCCCGATTCTAAAAATATCCTTATACAGGCACAGGCTTGATACCAAAATTTGGTTTTGATCAACCTGACATAAGAGGTAAAATGTCAAATAATAATAAAAAAAATACATGCGGAAGACATACTTTGAAAATAACAAAAACCCAGGCAGTGTTGGCAAAATCATCAATAAATTATGTTTTTCCGCTCTCATACGCTCTCAATATCACGCGTGATATTGGAACAAAATATCATGCTTGATATTTATTTTACAAGCTTGTTTGATATTGCGAGACTATTCAAAACGTGCAAAAATCAAGCGGAGAGTTGACTAGACACAAAAATCATTCCGTTGCACATCATTTTCTTAGAAAAAGAAAGTATATTAGGCTATCTTTTTTTACTGTTCACCGATGGCAGACACGAAGTGACTGCTGCCAGCCGTTATGGAAGTTTCGGTTGCGTTCGGGTTTCAAGCAAAAATTATTAAACTCAATATCACCACAGTTTGTTGAGATATGCAGCTGGTGAGTTTCGTTAGCTTGATATTCCGAGCTGTGATATCACAGCTTGCAAAATCAACCGCAGCTGTATGCTTGTTGATTTTTTTTCTACGTAAAACAAGCGTGATCTTGGGCATTGGTGAGATTTGATTTTTTGATATTTTTCCAACACTGAACCCAGCTATTATAATTTGATATTGAGATGATATTGTGGCTAATCCCTACCAATTTAAGGCATCGATATATTCGCTCCTGCTCGAGAAAACCCACAGACGCAAACCCCCCAGGAATGCTTCGGACCTAAACGGTTTCAAGACTCACCCTGGTGGTAGTGGTCGTCGGCCTTGTGGTCGTCACCCGCTGTGGTAGCGTAAAGCTGCTCTCCGGTTTTTCGTAGTCATAACCGCAACTTCCATCCGGGTTGCGCTGCGACGGTGGACACTGGGTTGTCGTTGGACGACGAGTGGTGGTCGTTGGTCTCGTCGTGGTCGTTGGTCTCGTCGTGGTCGTGGTCCTTCTAGTGGTCGTCGTTGACGGTGGTAGATATTCCTGCGAGGGAGTTGTCCTACGGGTTGTCAACCGTGTGGTGGTCGTCGTCGGCCTGGTGGTTGTCACTCGCTGGGGTTGGGTGAAACTGCTGTCTGGCTTTTCGTAGAAGTAACCGCACGTTCCGTCCGGATTGCGTTCCGATGGTGGACACTGTGTGGTCGTCGGACGACGGGTTGTGGTCGTAGGTCTTCGCGTTGTAGTCGTTGTCGTAGGCCTTCGCGTTGTGGTTGTTGTCGTAGTCCTCCTGGTAGTCGTCGTTGTTGAAGGAGGAAGATACTCCTGCGAAGGAGTTGTCCTGCGGGTCGTCAATCGTGTGGTGGTCGTCGGCGGCCTGGTGGTAGTCACCCTTTGTGGTAGTGTGAAACTACTCTCGGGCTTTTCGTAGAAATAACCGCAAGTTCCATCCGGATTGCGTTCCGAAGGAGGACACTGTGTGGTCGTTGGTCTTGTCGTGGTAGTTGGCCTTGTTGTGGTTGTAGTCCTCCTTGTAGTCGTTGTTGGCCTTGTTGTGGTTGTGGTCCTTCTTGTGGTCGTTGTAGACGGCGGTAGATACTCTTGCGAGGGAGTTGTTCTACGGGTCGTCGTCGTGGGTCTCGTGGTAGGCACTCGTTGTGGTTGTGTGAAACTGCTGTCTGGTTTTTGATAGAAATAACCACACGTTCCATCTGGATTACGTTGCGAGGGTGGACACTGAGTGGTCGTCTGGCGTCGAGTGGTCGTCGTTCGTGGACGAGTTGTAGTGGTAGTTCGCTGGAAATGGAATTGAGGTAAGTATGGATCAAGAAACCATTTCGCTGTGATCTAGACTAACCCTAGTGGTAGTTGGTGGCCTTGTCGTTGGACGGGTCGTAGTGCGGGGAGGTAGGTATTCTTGTGGAGGTGTGGTTCTGCGAGTGGTTGGCCTGGTGGTAGTGGTTGTTGGACGAGTAGTCGGTACCCGCTGTGGTAGAGTGAAGCTCTGTTCGGGCTTCTCGTAGACATAACCACAGGATCCATCTGAGTTCTGCTGCGATGGAGGACACTTCGTCGTTGGAACCGTTCGATAGGGGGTAGTCGTTCGACGAGTGGTCGTCGTTGTCGGCCGAGTTGTCGTTGTTGTGCGCTAGACGGAGATAGATTAGTCTCTAATTAGGAAAAGCTCAGCAGATGTAACATACCCTGGTGGTAGTGGTTGGGCGTGTAGTAGTCTTTGGTGGTAGATACTCCTGAGGTGGAGTAGTTCTACGGGTGGTAGGTCGCGTAGTTGACACCCTCTGTGGAACGGTGAAACTCTGTTCTGGTTTTTCGTATACATATCCACAGGAACCGTCCGGGTTCTGTTGGGATGGCGGACACCTAGTCGTTGGTACGGTTCGCTGGGTAGTTAAACGACGAGTTGTGGTCGTCGTTCTCTGTAAGACAAACGACCATTGATCGTGAAGAAAATATCAGCCACATAATCAAGGCTATAGCTTACCCTAGTAGTGGTGGTTGTAGGCCTGGTAGTGGTCGTAGTCCTCCTGGTTGTCGTTGGGGGTAGATACTCCTGGGAAGGTGTAGTTCGGCGCGTCGTTAACCTAGTAGTTGTGGTGGTAGGCCTCGTGGTGGTAACCCGCTGGGGTGTGTTGAAGCTCTGATCAGGTTTCTCGTAGACGTAGCCGCAAGAACCATCCGGGTTCTGCTGCGATGGAGGACACCTGGTCGTCGTAGTTAAACGACGAGTTGTGGTCGTTGGTCGAGTAGTGGTTGTAGTTCGCTGCAAAGAGAATATTTCAACTGAATAGAATCACAGAAATCAGGAGCCACATTGCGCATCTCGAAATGAAACACTTTTTGTACGAACGCTCGTATGAAAAAGTTTTTGGTTTCGAGATGCGCAATGTGGCTTCAGATTCAAACTAACCCTAGTTGTGGTTGTCGTCCTCGGTGGTAGATACTCTTGTGGTGGAGTGGTTCGCCTGGTAGTCGGTCGGGTGGTAGTTGTTGTATACCTCGTAGTGCTTACACGCTGAGGGACGGTGAAGGTCTGATCAGGTCGCTCGTAGACGTACCCACAGGAACCGTCTGGATTCTGTTGCGATGGCGGGCATCTGGTCGTCGTCGTTGTACGACGAGTGGTTGGGGTTAGACGGGTAGTGGTTGTAGTTCGTCGGGTAGTAGTTGTAGTCACTCTTTGAGGTAGAGTGAAGCTTTCCTCTGGTTTCTCATAGAAATATCCGCAAGATCCATCCGGATTCTGTTGCGACGGGGGACACTTGGTCGTTGGAACCGTTCGGTAGGTGGTGGTAGTTCGACGGGTTGTTGTCGTGGGTGGACGAGTGGTAGTTGTCGTGCGTCTGGTTGTTGTTGGTGCACGAGTAGTTGACACCCGCTGAGGAATGGTGAAACTTTGATCTGGTTTCTCATAGACGTATCCGCAGGATCCATCGGGGTTCTGCTGTGATGGAGGGCACCGGGTAGTAGTCAGCCGTTGCGTTGTAGTAGTCCTTCTAGTCGTAGTGGTAGTCGGACGAGTTGTAGTAGTTGTTCTTCGGGTGGTCGTAGTCGTTGGGCGAGGGGTAGTCCTAGCGGTTGTTGACACCCGCTGAGGAATGGTAAAACTTTGATCTGGTTTTTCATAGACGTATCCGCAGGATCCATCGGGGTTCTGCTGTGATGGAGGGCACCGGGTAGTAGTCAGCCGTTGCGTTGTAGTAGTCCTTCTAGTCGTAGTGGTAGTAGGACGAGTTGTAGTAGTTGTTCTTCGGGTGGTCGTAGTCGTTGGACGAGGGGTAGTCCTAGCGGTTGTTGACACCCGCTGAGGAATGGTGAAACTTTGATCTGGTTTTTCGTAGATATATCCACAGGTTCCATCGGGGTTCTGCTGCGATGGAGGACACTTCGTTGTCGGAACTATCCTTCGTGTGGTGGTAGTTGGACGACGAGTAGTCGTCGTAGGTCTTGTGGTAGTCGTCGTTCGCTGAGAAGGAAAATCAATGATCATTTCTGTTCTCAAGACCGTATTCCACAGCATTACCCTGGTTGTCGTTGTGGTAGGAGGCAGGTATTCTTGTGGAGGAGTCGGACGTCGAGTGGTCGTTGTCGGACGAGTGGTTGTTTGGCGTTGAGGAACCGTGAAGCTCGAATCTGGTCGTTCATAGACATATCCGCAGGTTCCATCTGGGTTCTGCTGTCCGAGTGGACATCTCGTAGTTGTTGGTGGTCGAGTTGTTGTCGTAGTTCGCTGTAATGTTCAATTACTGAATAACACGTCCCATGGAAGCACATCAGAAACTTACCCTAGTGGTTGTGGTTGGCCTTGGCGTCGTTCGCTAGGGAAATTAAATCGGTATTGTTGGTAACCTTCTTAGACATTTCACGGCTAACTTAAGTAACTTACCCTTGTGGTCGTTGTAGGCGGAAGGTACTCCTGTGGTGGTGTAGTTCTCCTGGTGGTGGTAGTAGTCGTAGGCCTTGGAGTGGTGGTTGATACTCGTTGTGGAAGAGTGAAGGACTCATCCGGCTTTGGATAGAAGTATCCACAAGTTCCGTCTGGATTTTGAGCTTGAGGTGGGCAATCAGGCTTCCGTGTTGTTGGAGGTGGAGGGCGTCGGGTAGTCTGCAATTAAATTCGGTTATTTGTTATCATTGAACTGAGAACTGCAAACACTCACCGTCGTCGTTGGACGATTTGTCGTAGTCGTTCTTCGCGTGGTGGTGGTTGTAGTGGGTGGCCTTGTGGTGGTCGTTGGTCGAGGTGTAGTCCTCGGTGGCTGATACTGGCTTGGCAGTGTGAAACTTTGGTCTGGTATAGGGTAGTCGTAACCACAGCTTCCATCTGGATTTTGCTGAGAGGCTGGACATTTCTTCTCCGTTACCGGTGGAGGAGGCCGTGGAGGACGGGTTGGTGTTTCAAATGGGATCTTTGGTTTATCGTAGTGGTAGCCATCGTCAGCGAGGATATCGTTGCGGGAATAACTGCCCTTGATGATCGTTGAAATGTCCGCTTTGCATGTCGTCACCAGTAAACTGAGCAATATTATAGTGCTCCTCTGCAAGGGAGAGAAAGAGTGGAAAGAATCGTTAGAATGAGAAATTAATCAAGTACCTACAATGTGAATGTTCAACCGAGTAGCAAGCAAACAGCTATTTTTGATCACATTCGTATTGATCAAACCAGACTTCACATCAAAAGCTACGCAACAACTAGAACAAATTAACATTTTCAGCAATCACATGATATGTCAGTTGCACCACTGGTTTTATGGTCATCTGCCCTCAAAGTATGTATCTTCCATTCATACGCGAGAGTGGATATGATTCGATCAACACGGTGACGGTGCCGACGACGACCTGTCAAGAGACAAGTGTCGTCTCTCGTGGGATCCCAAACACCATATGTGGAAGACTACATCTGCCTTCCGATCACGAACGAGTGTTTGCTTCCATTGAAACTAACAATAGCTAATTACTTTCGATTATCGGCCACTTATGAATAATTAATTTGTTTGGTGTTCTGTTAACATCCTTCAATTCCATCCCATCGCATCTGTTGAGTTGATAGAACTGCATTTTTCTCTCCATACACGATGTGCCTAGATGTTATAAAAGCTTGAGAGCCAGATCGTTTGGTAAATGTCAGTATGCTGCCGCTACTGAGTTGGAAGCCCAACGGTGAACTAAGTTAAGACAGAGAACTACAACTCCATACGTCACGCATCGATCGTGATCGTGACAAGTCGGATGGCGCCTTCTCGCTCGTCTCGTCGTCGGTGGATCATTTGACTTTCTGAGAATGACACTTCTTCGGCTGGTACGATACGTCGATGGTCGGAAGTCAATTATCATCATTTGGAGGTACCTTATCTCTAAATCTTGAGCCTGTTGACACCCGCCGCAGAAGCGTCACTAATGGAAACATTCAACAAAAGCCTAATGACAAATTGATTACACCGTGGCACAGGAGTTGAGGGCTATTCGCTCGGATGTTGCATTGAACCCCGTGCGTGAAACCGAACCACCTTGGAGGCTGATTGAGCATGTGGTTTGACTCACGTGGGGGTGATCGTGAAGTTTCAACGATGTGATTATGTTTTGGAATGATACCATAGATAATTAATGGTTTCATTGGTTAATCTACAATTCTCTTCCAATTATCAATACTTCTTATAAGAACTCGCATAGGGCATAGATATAATTTTGGGCCTACTAAGCACAACGCGTCCTTTGCCTCTATTTTTCGAAAGGATTTTTTTTATTCACAAAATGGAATGTTCTCACTGCAGATACCTTCCAAATTTATATGAATTTCCGGATGTTTCGTAAGATTTGATGAAGAGTAACATATTGTTGAGATATTGATAAAAATCTAACACTGCTTCTTGACCCCAAACTCGGCATACGGATTCTAAACTCGGCCTAACGCATTGAAACGCCATTGAATTCACTTCGGCCTATCGGATGAAGATAAAAATTGATTCGGTCAGAGCGCCTTTTTTATTTTTGAGAATAATGGGTGAAAACATATCACACGTTCGTATTGACTTCGTTCGGTAGATTTTAAACAGAAGTATCGTACCAAACGCATAATTGACTTGTTAACGCCAAAATCAAGGTTTTATTTTATGTTTTCTGCTCGATAGACCCAAAATGGGTGATTAGACCGAAGTAGCTCTCTATCCTATTAATGAAAAACAAAACATGAAATGCTCCGCATGATTGCCTTGTAATTTTGCTCAGAATTCTTCTAAAAATGCCCAAGAACTCTTCTCAGTACAGGTATACCATAGAGGTATAAGCATATACCAGAAGGTCCCGAAGAAATGTGCTCAACTTTTTGGCTCAGCTCTGGTACTCTCTTCGGTCCCAAGCTAATCGATGCACCCCTCGAAACATAGGAAAATCCACGAACCCCTCATTTTATCTGTCAAACTTTCATAGCTAATCAAAACAAACATAGCGTAGTCTGTGCCTACGGGCACTAACGCATGCTTTACGTAGGATCGCTAGTGGACGGAACAAATATGTTTAGCAATTAGTTCGATCATCTATTATCTTAACTTTTTCCGTTTTTGAATTGTTGGCCCTGAAAAGGGCCGGTTATTTTTCAAATGGTGTCCCTGAGAAGCACCGTTTTTTTCTGGTGTATTTTTGATCGTTTGGGACGGCTACCGTGTAGCTGATGAAAACATAGTGATTATTGATAGTCCACACCGTGCTCTCTTGCCGTGCGGATCTATTCGCTTTTTGCTGAAGGAAGTGTTACACTACCTAAAGCTACAACAAATTTAAACAGCACTTTTCAGTGCTCAACATGTAAATTGTCTACCTTGTTCAACTCTTATTCCTCTTCGATCCTTGTTTGGACCCTACCCAAGGTAATCCTTCTTGGATATCGATTTGGAAAATTCCTCTTCGATCCTTCATATTCTTATAGTATTTTTTTTTTGATTACTTTATTTGTACAGGCTCATTCGAATAAACTTTACAGAGCCAAGTTATCATTTTCTTTACACATTATAAATGTCTTAAATCTAAAATTAAAGGATTGGAACCGATTACTCGCGGTCTTCTCGAGGTTAGTGGATGACAATTGTTTGGATCGGGAGAGGGAAAAGGAGATTTGGAATATGATTTATGATTAAAAAATTTCACTATTTCTAAAACAAATACTTAATCCTATCGACGTTATATCAACTCTGTAATTATACAATTATTACAGAAACAAATCTACAAAAAAAATACACGCACACATACAAAATACAAACTAAACACAAGGTTAATAAAACTTAAAATCTAATGTGAATATTCTTAAAGTAAACATATATGAGTTTCATAAACTCCAGATCGCGTCTAGCCAAAATATCCCGAACTGGAACATTAGGTTGTCTACCTTGAGCCCGAAGGGAATCGTACAGTTCAGATCTGACTCCGCGATGCTCAGCACAAGACCAAATAATGTGATCTGCGTCCTGGTAACCTTATATTCTTATAGTAATCAGCTTGGAAGTGAATTTGGATAAAAATTTACTGCCGCCATGGCGCCTAAACGCATAAGAAAAGGGAAATCTCTTGATCCTCCTTCTGATGAAATTAATTTGAGCAATCAATTTGATTTGCTCACGGATGATGAGTTCTAGTAAACTTTACCGGCCTAATGCCAAGAAGGAAAAGATTCCTCGTATTGTGGTAACCACATCCGATTTAAATGCTTTTCGCATGGAACGTTTGAATTTCGTAAAAGTTATTACAAACAAATTGGACGTCGGGGTGAATGCCGTGTATTGGCTGAAACCTTACTGAGAAGCAGCACAAATTTTTTACTTACGACACCAAAACTGAACGTGTGTTCAAGGTTGTCATGAAAAGACTGCCCAGTGGTGAATCCCTGGATCAGATCAAAGATGAACTGTCAAAATTGCCAGTCCAAGTAATCAAAATGAAAATGAAATCCCGTCCTGGCGATTTGCGCAACGGGATTTATAATTATTTTTATTTAGTTCACTTCAAGTCTAGTGAACTAAACAACCGTAAGGCCTTAGAAAAAGCTAGCCTTATGCTCCATGTCCGAGTGAAGTGGGAACACTTCAGGAAGACTGGAGGAAATTTCCAAAACCTCACTCAGTGCCGTAAGTGCCAGGGATGGGGTCACGGAACTAAAAATTGCTACATGCCAGCTAAATGCATGAATTGTGGTGATTCCTCTCACGCAAAGGACGACTGTCCTGTGAAGGAAGATCCTAAGAAATTTAAATGTTCAAATTGTGGTGAAAACCACAAATCCAATTTTTGGGAATGTAAGACTCGCAAAGCGATCCTACAATCTCGTTCTAAGCGACAGGTAGGAAACGCTCCACGTTTCCGGACAGGTACAAATTACTCTGCTGTTGACAACGGTCAGTTAGGAACAAATTCTACATTCGTACCCGTAGGTACAAATATCGCTCCTGCATCAAATTTTTCATCTGTACCTATTCCCCTTGCGGCTAACAATGTTCAGCGAGTTAATGGAGCTACCTATGCTGCTATTGCACCGGGTAGAAATCAAAATACTAACCAAAGTAATTCTAACGGAAATTTTGACAATTTTGACTTAGGAAGCATTACTGCCCCTAAAATGGATTTTTTACAGAATTCATTAATTGACATGATTTCTGATATGCTTAAATCTAACTCCATGTTTGATGCTATTCAAACTGGAGTAAAATTTGCTAATAATATTGTCATGACTTTAAAATTCAGTAATGGATTTTAAAGCATTAAATATTTTAAATTGGAATGCTCGATAATGAAGACGAGCTATTTTACTTCTTGAGAGTTCATAACGTGCATATTGCCGTTATAGCTGGTACGTTCCTTTAACCTGACCATAAGGTTAAGAAGGACGCAGGACCCTGTGGTGACGTTGCCATCATTGTCATAGACGAATCAAACATAAAATTCTTTCTTCAATTGAAAAAAAGTTTTTGAAACTTTGGGAGTTTATGTTGAAACAGAATTTTGAAAACTTACGTTTATAGCTGCCTATTTGCCATTTAAATGCGTAGGCCAGCAAAAGAATTTTCTCAAGGGTGACCTCCAGAAACTTACCCGTCATAGGTCTAAATTCTTCATTATTGGTGATTTTAATGCAAAACATCGCGCATGGAATAATGCTCAAAACAATTCCAATGGTAATATTCTGTTTGATGATTGTTCTGCAGGTTATTACAATATTCAATATCCAAACAGCCCAACATGCTTTTCTTCTGCAAGAAATCCCTCAACTATTGATTTGGTCTTAACTGATTTATGTCAACTTTGTAGCCAATTGGTTACCCATGCTGACTTCGGTTCTGATCACCTTCCAGTAACTTTTGAAATATCCCAAGAAATAATGTCTAATCCCAACAGCTCTACTTTCAATTACCATAGAGCTGATTGGGAGCAATATCGAAAATTTATGGAATATAACGTCGATCCAAACATTCCTTTGCAAACCAAAGATGAAATAATTATGCTCTTGAATCTCTGACTACTTCTATAGTTGAAGCAAGAGCTGCCTCAGTACCAA